ATATATATATATATATAACACTTTAATAAAAAAATATATTTTTGTATTGTCATCAAAGAAATTTTGACAGAGATGTCATCTTGTTTTCATATCTTATATTTAATATATTTATATAATCAATTATTGTTTGTAATATATTCCTCTATATTATTTAATCTTACAACAGTTACAATACTCAGTTATATTTATATTTGTATAAAATTATATCTTAATTAATTGTTAATTATATAAAGATTAAAATTTTATAACTTTTTCTTACAATTTATGACAATTAATTTAAATTTTGATGTATTAATTAACCTGATTATTGAATTATTACAGACCATTATCTATTTTCTTGTAATTTTTTTTGGAAAATTAATGTTTATCTTCACATTAATTAATTTTATTTTCAAATATAAACAAATATATAATTTAAAATATTTGAAAGTTTAAAATTTCACTTCAATGTTCATATTTGGAAATATTTATAATTTCATACAATTTCACAATACATAAACAAAATTTAAATTTATTGGAGATATTTTTGCCTTACTTCATTTTTCAGTTTACTTTCTTCAGTATATGAGAAAGGTGGAAGTACTTAGTATATTTTAATTTTTTGTTTATGTATTGTCAGATTAAGTGTAATTATTACTGTTAAATGACTGTTAAAGATTGACGAGAGAAGCTGTATAAGACTGAAAAACTAAATGTCTGGCATATAATAATTGGCAGCATTTAATGCAAAAAAAATATTAAAATTAAAAAAAATTGGCAAATGTTTTGTTCTATTTAATAGTCATATTTATCATATATCTTCAGGTGCAAATCCAGAATACAATGTATTTCAAGCTGCAGATGGTCAATAAATGTGGTTAAAGTGTTAGCTTTTTAATTTTAAGACATTTTGCTATATCAAATGTAAATGTTGTTGATTATTATAGATGAGAGAATAATAATAATAATAATATACACAAATAAATAAAATAAATATATATAATATATAACAAGATCATTCAACTTATTTCAATTAATATTGTATTATAATTATTATTATTTGTTTTTTAAAAGCATTAAATATATATAAATATAATAAAGTATAAATAATAATGTTTAAACGAAGAATTCGCTAAT